TCGATCTCTTGACCTCGTGATCCACCCGCCTCGGCCTCCCAAAGTGCTGGGATTACAGGCTTGAGCCACCGCGCCCGGCCATACCCATGACTTTTTAAAAAAAATTTCGTTAAATAAATTTGATTGTGTATGTGTGTTTAAAGCATACAGCATAATGTTGTAGGATACACATAGATAGTAATATGGTTATTATAGTGAGGCTAATTAAACTATCAATCATCTCATGCAGTTACCCATTTGTGTGTGTGTTTATATGTGTGTCACGAGGAGCTAAAATCTCATTTAGGAGAACTCCCAAATAAAGTACAATTTTATTAACTATAGACTTCATGTTGTACATTAACTAGATTTGTTCATCCTATGCATCTGCTACTTTGTAACCTCTAACCTTCATGTCTCCATTTCCTCCCTCCTCCCAACCCCTTGCCCTTCCCCTGGTAACCACAACCACAATTTTATTCTCTATCTCTGCATATTTGGCTTTTTTTTCTAAGATTCCACATGTAAGTGAGATTTTCAGTGGCGGAGGGTGTCAATGCCTAAAGGGTCGAAGACCAGGAGCAATGACTGGATTACAGAAGACCAGGAGCAATGACTGGATTACAGAATGAAAAGGATTTCGTGAACAATTGGCTTCCAAAAGAAAAAGGAGGGCGGGGGGGTGGTAGCTCACACTTGTAATCCCAGCACTCTGTGAGGCTGAGGCAGGCGGGGCGGATCACGAAGTCAGGAGTTCAAGACCAGCCCAACCAATATGGAGAAACCCCATCTATACTAAAAATACAAAATTAGCCGGGCGTGGTGGCGCATGCCTGTAATCCCAGCTACTCAGGAGGCTGAGGCAGGAGAATCACTTGAACCCGGGAGGTGGAGGTTGTGGTGAGCAAAGATCACACAATTGTACTCCAGTCGGGGTGACAAGAGTAAAAGAAGTCCAGGGGTCTCGTCCCCACTGCTCTGTGTCCTGTTCTCCTAGACGCCCAGCTTGTGTGGCCCTGTGACCTGCAGGTGTTGGAGATCCACAGCTACGATGCCAAGATCCCTTGGAAGCCTAGAAATGGAACCGCTGACATTTGGGGATGTGGCCATAGAATTCTCTCTGGAGGAGTGGAAATGCCTGAACCCTGCACAGCGGAATTTATATAGGAATGTGATGTTAGAGAACTGCAGAAACCTGGCCTTCTTGGGCAGACAAGCAACCTCATCAAGCAGTTCCCTGACACCACAGCCAGGTAAATCCACAAAGATGGGAAAAAACCAGCACAAAAAAGATGAAACCATCAAAGACCAGAACACCTCTTCTCCTTCAAGGCGTCACAACTCCTCAACAACACAGGATCTCAACTTGATCGAGGAGTGTGATGAATGGACAGAAACAGGCTTCAGAAGGTGGCTAATGACAAACATTTCTGAGCTAAAGGAATATGTTCTAACTCAAAGCAAAGCAATCAAAAACCTTGAAAAGAAGTTAGACAAAATGCTAATTGGAATAACCAGCATAGAGAAGAACATAAATGACTTGATGGAGTTCAAAAACACAGCACAAGAGCTACATGAAGTAAAAACAAGTTTTAATAGCCAGATTGATCAAGGAGA